ATGGATCCATACTTTAACAGCTATTATGTTCATAACTTATGGATCCATACTTTAATAGCTATTATGTTCATAACTTATGGATCCATACTTTAATAGCTATTCCATACGTTCATAACTTATGGATCCATACTTTAATAGCTATTCCATATGTTCATAACTTATGGATCCATACTTTAATAGCTATTATGTTCATAACTTATGGATCCATACTTTAATAACTATTCCATACGTTCATAACTTATGGATCCATACTTTAACAGCTATTCCATATGTTCACAACTTATGGATCCATACTTTAACAGCTATTACATACGTTCATAACTTATGGATCCATACTTGTCGAAACGTTGTACATTTGCTGTCATGTTAAACTTATATTAAAGTTTTTCTTCATTACCCATTTAAGCCGTCTCCAGCCATTATTAGTCTCAAAGTGGATTCCTCGTCATCGAATATGTGCATTATTATTCATACAGACGCTTAACTACATCATTTCCCATTTCACAAGAAGAATGAGTTAAAAACTAACATTTACTTGAAAATTGTATCAGTAATAAACATATAACAAGAATTAAACATAATTCATGATTTTAATTATTTGCTTAAAGGAGTTTAAATTTTAGGAAGACCAGGATTTAGTGTAACTTTACATTTTTGAAGCATTTTTCATGTTATTTTTGATATTTTAAATATAAACTTTTATCCTTAGATATGTTTAAAAATTGGTTTATATAACAGAAAATGATAAACATTTGCAGATGTTCCTCTCCAAAAAATAATAATAAGATTTAAGATAAATTTTTTTCTGAAGCTACTTATCTTGACAGAAGCATTGAAGAATAAAATGTTAAGTGTGAACAAAGGGTTATTTCTGTACATCATCAAAGAAAGCAAACTAAACTGTACACCAGCAAGTATCTTATTTGTTTTTCTTTTTACACTTGTATTTCTACAAAAGGCAGTTACCGTCCATTCTACAGAGTTTCATTCAAGAATTGTTTAGTTGAAAGTGAAGTTAGGAAGTCATTATTATTGTTGGTGGTGAAAGTGATGAGTTTTAGTGACATTATATTGTACTAGCTTTTATGAAATGAAAGTAAAAGAAACTGAATGGTATAGTCACTTTATTGTTCACCTTTGATCCAGATCTATTCTTTAAAAGGTATTTCAGAGAGGCAGAGTGATTACAAGGATTGAAAATGCTTAGTATTTATATGTTCTTTGATATTTCTCAATGAAAAGTATCAACAGCATTAACTAATTTGATGGTTTGAAAGGTCTACGAGTTCTCAAGAACATTGTTTATATTCCTAACTTATGTTAATGAATATGATTTAATAAATCTCATTATTAAATGGTGATATTTGCATTATTTAAATAGAAATTATCACACAGGATGAATGAAGATTGTTTCTCATTCCCCAAAGTAGACTGTTATAAAAGTCAGAAAAGATAGAAGTGAAAAATTAAACTTTTTCAATCTGTTTCTGATGTTTCAACAACTGTTGAACTTATTTAAGATAATTAACATAATTACTAGAAGATAATTATTAATGAACATATTAATGAAAATCTGGAACAAGTATTAATCTTTTCAAATTCAGAGAGATTTAGTGTTATAATACAGGTTTTTTATATTTTTATCGACACACAGTTTTAAGATTTCTGTCATGCATGGTAGACCTGTAAATACACAAATCAAAACTCTTAGAGAAGGCAACATTTAAAAAGAATAAGAAAACACATTATTAAGTTTTTTTAGTGAACTTGAGTGTAAAGATAATTTTGTTGGTTATGAGAAAAGTTACTCAACTCTGGATGAGAAACTAAATATTTGTCCTCTGATTAGCTAACCATTCTGAGGAGTAGTGTTTTTTGTTTCTTCCATGGTTATGAAAATGTTAGCCATGGTGCAATAGGACCACCATGTTTTTCATCATTTGACTCATTCAGTCGAGGATTCTTAGTCTTGTACATTGTTGTATATATGGTGCAATAGGACCACCATGTTTTTCATCATCTGACTCATTCAGTCGAGGATTCTTAGTCTTGTACATTGTTGTATATATGGTGCAATAGGACCACCATGTTTTTCATCATCTGACTCATTCAGTCGAGGATTCTTAGTCTTGTACATTGTTGTATATATGGTGCAATAGGACCACCATGTTTTCATCATTTGACTCATTCAGTCGAGGATTCTTAGTCTTGTACATTGTTGTATATTTTACCCTATTTTATGAAAAACCAGAGTTTGTTTCTTCTTATTTTTAGTGGAGAGTTCTTTTTTTACATATTTTACTTAAGCCATTTTTTGAGCATTTAAAACTTTCTTTTTTTCAGCCATGTCAAATCCTGGGCCATTTGAACTATTCTCACAACTAAATTAAAGATTTTGTGTTGTAGACACGTGATCATAGCTACACGATTTTTCTACTTTTCCCTTTTTCCGTTACCTTCTGTAGTCAGATTAGATCAGAGACATGAGCCATATTTTCTATCTTATTTGGGTACCAGAAATAACACTTACCACCAGGCATAAAGCATATGAATGTGAATCGTAATTAAAGTAGAAGTCCTGTAGTGGAATGCAGTTGCAGCAAACTCAGCAAATGATCTGTATCTGGCCTAAATGTACATTAGATGGGTGTGAAATGTTTTTAATATTCCAAACAGCATGTATATAATTATATTTGCAAGCAATGCTAGTGTTGATTGATTATTTAATATTTATATGTGCATATTTTCCTGTAATTAGGATTCAGAAATTGATTTTGTGATTAAGTGAATTCAGTGGCTAAAAGATTTTCTTAACCATAAACATTTCTTAGTTTACTGCATTTCATAAGATAAAGTAATTGTCAAACTACATTATACAGTAGGAATATTCATATAAAATTAAAAATTAATTTGTATATTCATATTTCTGTATTTTATGTTTAGAACTTGACTAATCAGTATTAGCTTCTTTCATCCATAGCTGGTACTTTGGATTCTCTTTCATTCTTATATGCATGTGGATAGTTTTTCTTGGAAAGTTTTGTTCTTCATGGCTGTTTAAAGACATTGCTTTTGGATATCTGGTGCTTCTACATCAAGTTTTATGTTTGACTTTTCTTCATTTTGTTAAGCAACTAGTCAGTTCATAGTAACACATATTTTAGTCAGTTTGTGCTGATATTTGATGATGAAAACTGAGATATAGATTTGGTAATGTTTCGAAAAGAGTCAGACATTAACATGTGAATCATTTATGGTGTGTGTGTTCTCTAATTTTGTATGAGTTTTTCCCTACCACTTTATAAAAATTTACCAGTTGCATTCTTTCATCACGTTTTGAGTTAGTTTTATCACCTATTTCTTTGCATGTTTTTCTTTTGGAGTGGACATGAAAGTTTTTTTCCCATCTCACTAGTTTTCTCACCTAATATTGTGGACCAAAGTCTTTTCTACATATTATTGTTAATTCCAATCAAATATTATATCATGTGGATCAAATTTTTTCGTCCATCTTATTGTTAGCTTCCATCAAACATACCATGTTGATCAAATTTTTTCGTCCATCTTATTGTTAGCTTCCATCAAACATACCATGTTGATCAAATTTTTTCGTCCATCTTATTGTTAGCTTCCATCAAACATACCATGTTGATCAAATTTCTTATTCTATCATTTTTTTTTACTGAAGGCCGATGTTAATGTTTACAAGTTTTCAAGACTTAATTAAGTCCATGAGAAAAGTGTATTTATGCAAATACATAAAAACATGTAGTGGGATTGAAAAGAGGTAAGTGTCAAGAGCAGTTACTTATTGCTTACATGTATATTCAATGAGAACGTGTCATTTGAGCCCAAAACTCATCATTTGCTGGATTCAGTGATAACATCAACCCAAACTCATTTTAAAAACATTCTGTTGGTTAAAATATAATATAGGTTTCAACTTCATTACTTATTTGGTCTTATTGCATTGTATCCTAAAAATGATTTTGTTTTATATCAAAAGACCATTGCTGGTTTTGTTAAGTTTATTTATGTGAGCGTTTTCATTAATTTGCATTTGTGTTTGTAGTACAAATAAATGTATGAACATTTTTATTTGCTATCATGGGAAATGTTCCACATATGTAGAAGACAAAAACATTGAATTTGAGGAAAGTTTACAAAGTATGATTATAAGTACCTATACAAACAGTGTTTAGTTGTATATATGTTTAGTTGTATATATCGATTTGAAGCTGGAAAATTTGTATAATTACTGTTACATTAGTTAAGAAAACTACATTTAGTTTTATAACTTGAAATTTTGATCATATAAAAATTTTGCATTTGATTCATTAATTTTGAATTAAAAATTTCTATAGTTGTATTATTTATATAGCAAATGCTCATTACACCAATTATTTTTAGGAGTTTTATTGAAAGGGAGATTCCTGATGCTAAGTTCTTAACAGTCGGGTCTGTTACTAATAAATATTTATTGACATTTGTTACATTTAAAAATTTTTTTAATTAAAAGTATCAATATTTCTAGTAAAATATTGAAAAGACTAATACTGAATCACTCTGTACATGTAAGAACTCACTGCCAGAAAGTTTTAAACAGCTTTCACTAGTAATCAGAATTGGCCATTCACAAACATATTTAAATCCAAAATTACAGATGTTATATTATGTCACTAAACAGATTGTTTATTTTAAGACTATTTTTTACTTGTATTTGTGATATATCAATTACAAATATAGTGATAATAAAAAGTATATACATATTTTCAGCAAGTAATCACAAAATGAAAAATTCAACTGAGCTCTTTATAAAAGTACATCTAAGAAGGAAGGTATCTCTGAAGCTTTCGGGTTTCTTGTTTTGTAGTATCTTTTTTTCTTCTTGATTTTACTGTGTCACAAATTTCATGAAATTATATTTTTCCCCAATAACACAATAAATATTTCTGTCTCATTAAGATATGTTTTTTTCTCATTTGATGAATTTAAGGATGATTCCTTGGCATCCATGGCTGTAAATACTACACTTCTAGTTCACTTGTTTGGTAAAAAAGGAAAAGAAACTTTGTGTTTTGATGATTTTTATAGGTAAGAGATGAAATATCCAAATAACAGCACTTGAATATTTAATGTTTTTGTTTAAATTTAAATATAATTTTTCTATCACCAGGCTACATTAAAATCATAAATACTTCTTAAATGGTTTCATATAGAAACCAAGAAGTACAAATTAGAAAAAAAGTAACAAATTTAATTAGTTTTATAAGTTTAGGTTTCTTTATTTAATTTTGATTGGACTGATCCAACATAAATTATTTTCATGATGTTTTAATTTTCTGTTTTGTTTGTTTTACTAGGAAATCCATTTAGAGCTCTCTATTTTATAATGTGTTACAGTGTTATTTTTATAAATTTTACGATATCATTGTTATAATTTTTTTTTATAGATTGATGATTACATTTTCCTAATCTAGATATTTCCAAGGATTAGAAGAGTGTATGATAATATTATTACAACCACACTAATTTGTCATATCCATTGCTGAGACGATGCAGTTTGCTTAATCCAGAGCTCTTCTGGTTGACTGGGACACTAATGTCTTATGACAAGTGTAATCGTATTCATTCTTCATCAGCATGTAAAAGGCGTACGTACCATAACAATTGTTGTATCAAATGTCTTATATAAATAGTGTTCTGACCACTGCTGTGTTTGTTGTATCCTATTCAGCATGAAGAGCTCTGGATTGAGCAAAACACATCATCAGCAACGAATATGTCAAATATAGTATGTTTGGAATGTTATTGTATATTCTTCTAATTCATGAGAATCCTGAGGGGACTAGATTAAGAATGTTGTGTTTATAAAATGATATATGCCTAATACTAATATCTTATGACTAAGTATTTTTTGCCAGCTTGTAAAAGGCAGACATACCATAATAAGTGTTTTATTTTTACAATTTATTATTTCATTGTAATTCTTTAGAAGCAGACTTCTTAATTTTTTTGTTCTACTTATCCTTCAGTATTAGCAGTATTGACTCAAAACATATTTTATACATAGATAATGTTACTCAGAGAAACTTAGTTTTGGATAATTAGTGAGATATAAACTTAATATTATTCTAAAAAAATTATTCTGAAAAAATAGAGGAAAAAGCAGGATGCATAGGCTATATATATATTTATAAATTTACTATTACACAGTTTGATATCTTGCATCTTTATGGAGTTAAATATGAATTTGAATATATATATATATTTCCAGATTCATGGATAATCTTCAGACAGAAGTTTTAGAGTTAGAGTTCATGGAATTCTCTCATGGAATGCCAACAATTTCAGAAGTGGACTTTGCCAGTATATTACTTCGATACACTTATGTTCACAGTGATGATTATGAAGCATACATCCAACGAGTTCAAGAGCAGATTCCCGAGGAAAAGGTAGAATATTCCTTTGAAAACTCATTATAATACTAAACATTTATTAAAATATTAGCTCAAATTGTCACTTATTAATAACATCAACTCAAATATATTGTGTGTTCCTCAACAAGTATTGAGTGATAGCAATGTATAATAACAATTGCAATGTTTAAAGGAAGTAATTATCTTGTGAAAAACAACATATTAAATCAAAAAGAATTACATATATCTGTACTTTGATTTTGTAAATTTTATACCAAAATTAAACAAAAAGTTTCTGCTAGTGCTTTGTAATTTTTAGATACAAGTTCCTTTATATTTTCTCATTCCAAAAGTGTTTTCAGAATATAAATCTTTCTAGTTAAACAATCAGGTTTTATTTTTATTTCTATGTTATGAGTTGTTCACATTAGGTAATAAAATCTATACCATAACTAATTTTAAGCAATGCTAGTTCTCTTCAGTTAAGCTACGTAGATGGCAGAGATTGGCACCCAATGGAGTGTTGTATGAAGCTTTAGATATGAAAATGGCTTTTTGTAACTTGTAGTTAACCTAATCAAGGTGAACTGATGAGATCTGACTTTCTTACTAAGAATAAATGCTAATTTTTATATAGGTGTCTACACGTACACCTAGCATCAGTACAACATTTATTTTAACACCTAGTCTGCAAGTCAGGGAGACATTTTTGGTGGGTTAATTCCCAAACAAAGCTTTTCAGTACTATCTTATTTTAATTCTGAATAGAAAATTGAACTCTTTGCAATTTCTAGAATCAGAGTTGCCCATCAGTATGGCCGAATTCACAATAGTTTCCAGGCTGTGATGAAGGCTCTTACCTCTTTCCAAGACACTGTAGTGACTGCATATGTTTTGCAATACAAGAGCTGGTTTCTCAGCTCTATAAAAACCAATTTCTCAGTAGTTTTTGCAAGTTCTGTTGTTAGAGACGGTAGAAGAAGGCTCAACAAAGCTTACTCGTTGTCTTAACGTGGCTGAGAACAGTACCTGTCTGAAGTGAGCACTTTTACTATTTTGTGCAAAAGGAACCAATCTTCTAAACTCTGCATCTTTGAGGTCAAACACCATTTAAGGGCGAGGTTCTCATGTTAGTAAAGTGTGTTTTTTTTAGGTTAACAGATTCTGCTTTTTATTGAATTATTTTTTTGTTCTAACTTGAATACTGGAAGCCATGATACACCTCAGTAACCCACCAAATCCCTCAAATTTGATATCAGTGCCTTACAGACTGGGTGACAAATAAACTAATTTTTCTTGATAAATGATTTTTATGGTAAAGATATAAGTGATTTCTAAGAATACTTGAATATAAAAATCAAATAACAAGAGCAACAAAAAAAAATGCTTTACTAATAGTGTGCACCACTTTTATGTTTTAAAAGTCATTATTTTTACTTTGAAACCTGCTGCTTCTTAAGAAAATGTGCATGTGAAAAACATACAGTAGTGAATATGAAAGTTTTATTCAATTATAATAATATCTCTGATATAATCTTGAGCTGCACCTCATGTTTGTGCCAAGAATTAGAGCTTTTTTATATTTCTCCATGCTTCCTTCTCCCCCAGTTAATTTGTAAATATTGTAATTGTGTGTCTTATGTCATCTGTTAACAGAAACTCTAGGCCGATCATCATATTATTACCATCACCACTGAAGGTGGATGGAGGTTATGTTTTAATCTGTGTGTGTTTATGTGTTTGTCAGCAAGATTTCTCAAAATTGACCTGAATGGATTTGGATGAAAGTTAGTATACATTTGGACTATGACCAAACTCAGAAGTGGTTAGTTTTTGGAGGGTCAAGGTGACAGCAAGGTCACAAAAATATAAAAACTCCCTATCTGTTATATTGTGGACCAATTTTTCACACTATTATTGCTCCATAAGTTAGCGAAAAAGGATCGGATTTTGATGAAACTTGGTAAACATATGTTGAATAATATTCCTCTGCCAGAAATGGTTTATGTTCATTGATAACAAAAGAGATACAGACACATTTTCGTATTTTTGGATCACCGATTATAATCATGTTTATGCATTGTACTGAGTGCCTCTCCAGTTCCCTCTACTTTGAACTTAATAAACAACCTTATATGGTGACGTTTTGCATTAACCATTCTGGCAGTTACATGTGTTGCTTCAATGCTTATTGTAGTGCTATTATATTATTTGTTTATCATTTGGCGAGTGTTATTTCTCATTTTATTTCCAAACTTATTCTTGAACTTTAACTTGGTTATATTCTTTAATTTCATTAATTTGTTTTACTACAAATTCTGAATTTCATTTAACGGAGGAATAAACTGGACATCCCCTTTACTTTTACAAAAAACAGCCCATTTTCTTAATTGGTATGAGGAGAGACCTGTTGCTTTTGAATTTGACAGTCAGCACAGTGGTGGATCCATCAGATATGATTTAGGAATTGATTGCAATTTTCTGCATTATCTTGATAATTGTTTATGTTTGAATAGCATCCTTTGATATCTAGTTTCCTTCATTTGTCTTATATTCTTTTCAGACAGATTTTTGTTCATTGACTGGAGTATTCTAAGTGTTTTTCATCTCCCAGCTGGCAAGTTTCTTCTTCTTCAACCAGCATATACATATTTCTTCTTGGCAGGAATGTCGAGAGCCAGCGTGGGCCTCGGGGCAAACATCCTCGCTGGGCCCCCTTTTTTCTCTCTTTTTTTAACATTTTCAAGAATTTATTTAAAAGAAGATTTTAAATTAGGACAGCAACGAGCTCATAAATCAGACAAAATCATAGCAGCAGCCGTTTTTACCTCACAGTATAAGAGTAAAAACGTTAATAAAGTAACAACAAATATCTATTAAATCTATAAAGTAACAAATACATATTAATTATTACACAAATTATTATTTCAGTAGTTCTTAATGTATCAAGTGTCTATATGCAAAGAAAAGACTAAAACTATGGTTTTTATCTTTAAATGAAGATATAGCCTAAAGATGCTTTGCATAACCAGGTTTCATTCCCCCGGGCCCCTGGGCAGCTTCTTGGCTATTATCTGCTTTAGGTAAAAATTGAGGCTCTTCATTCAGTTTTTCCATTCCTGTGTCTAACACTATGCTTTCTTGCATACAATTTTATATGATTTCTTCTCAGGATTTTTTGTGATCAGTGCAGCTTATTGCTGAAGCCTTCATGGGAAGTTCCTAATTTATCTGAAGACAGATTGCTCTTGTTTTTCACTGCCTTTTAGTGACTTGTCTCAGGTGGTATTCATAGTGTCTGCCTTGCTGTATTTTGGATTCTTTAAGAGAGTCTTTATCACAGTAATTATTTTTACCCCAGGCATTTCTTCATTAGTTATGTCTAGCAAACTTCTTCATAGATCATGATTTTGCTGGTGTTCAAAACCAGGGCTAGTCACCATTCCATAATTTTGAATTTTTCTTGAGCCTCATGCCATTCTGGGACTTCTTTGAGTGTCTGCACTAGAGGTTCAGGTTTTCTTCAAAATTTGTCTGCTAATGATACTTCATCAAATATTTAGTGTGGGCTTTCTGTTTGAGGAACAGGTCTTTTCAGCACTTCTAAATATGCTCCATGCATCTTCCTTATCTTAACTCATATTAGAATCTTATAGCTCTTTGTATCATGGGACCAGTGGTGGGCAGATTGACCAGTTATTATTGATGTTTGTATGGAGATATAGTGCCTTATAAATGGTTCTGATCTGATTTGGTGTTTTCCATTTCTGTCTTTCCTTCACATGAAAAGCAGTTTCATCTCAATCTCATGGATGAATTGTAACTGTAAAGTTGGTCATCTTCTGTCCAAGTCTGTGTTTCTATATGTTTATGATTTACAAAAATATAAGTATTGGCTATCAGTTCTGGATTTCTTTCCTTTGAATTCTTTTTTAAGCATTCCTTGTTTCAAGATTTAAATTTTTCATCAGTTCGATGTCTACCTGTGAAAGACATTGTGGATGACAGTTTGATATTGCAGATGTTAATTTTCATATTTCTTTTCATCTGTTTTCTCACTGTTATATTGTTTTGTATATAAGAACCATGTTTGTGAATTTCCTCTCTTCCCTTCAGTCTGGCTTCATTTGTTTTTATCAAGGCTGTCTGAACCATGATATCCTGTTTGCATTAGCTGAAAATTGGTTTCTATAATTACTTGAATGACTGGTTGATTCTTTTGTACTCTCTATATTATACCTAAGCAAACATGAAAAGAACACTCGACTTTATTGTGAGATTAGGATGGGTTGTAAAAGAATCCAAATTTTAGTTTTAATTGACTTAGTTTCTTATCTAATTTGGTATTTTGATCACTGTCAGTGTCACCCTTAGCAGCTCAGCAGTAAGTCTGTAGGCTTATAATACTAAACATTGGGTTCTATCATGTGGTGGGCACAGCACAGATAGCCCCTTTTATAACTTTGATTAATATCTAACACACAAACAATGTTATCTGTAGAAATTAGCACTTTTACCATTATGATTGATGATTGTAAAATCTCTCATATGAAAGGTTCTTTAGTTCCTGACTCCTTTCCTTCTCAAAATACTGTCTTTTCTTTTAATTTGGTGGCTTCAACTATTTTGATACCACTAGGTATTGTCCATTTATACCAATTTTAAAGGGAACTTGCTTCACAGTTGGTGATTTTTAGAGAGACACTTTCTTATTTCAGTGTTTCTCTTAACACAGTTTTAAATAACATCGAACTGATGGTTGAACCTGAACAGCACTACTAAAGGTGTTCATCTGAATTTTGGGGATAAAGTTTTCATTTATTCATGGATATCTTATTTCAGTCATGAGGGATGGACTGTTCTGAGAAATTTGGTTCTTCTTTGTGTTTGGTTAAGGAATCCCATAAATAGTCTGATAATTTGAGCAGTTAAGAACATTTGTACATAAACTTCATGGACACATTATGTACTCCTGTGGTCCTAATTCATTCAATCAATGGTATGGTCATCATTTCTATCAACAAGATGGAGACAAG